ATTAAATGCCCTTATGATATTACTTACGAAAATAATTAATTATTAAGCATATACTATTTTTTTCAATCAACGTTTAATAAGTGTTTCAAATTATAAAAAAAATAAACTTTTATGCATAAAGGGAAAATATTATTCATGCAAAACAAAGTTTCTAAGAATGCAATTAACCGTAACTAAATCTAAATAACATTCAAGTAAGTATAATTATAAATGTCATTAATAAATTAAAGGCAATTTAACTAAAACAAAATCAACTAGCATAAATATACGCATTAGACCTAACTGATTAAATATTAGTTTATGTGAGAATATAAGTACAAAGGTGATTACCAATAAAAATATATTATAATTATTACAAAATAGTGTTTTTAAAAACGAGGGAATCAATTTTGATAAGCTTTTTAGTTAAACAATTAATTGAACCAATAAAATGTCCTTCAAGACTAATTACATATTTTTTATTGTAGAATGTAAAAACTTATTCAATAAATACAGTAAAAACATTAATATATTCATAAATAATTGCTTTAATAATACCTACTATATTTAAATAAGCAGCATTTTTTATTGTAATAATAGGAATTTTCTAGAGCAATTAAAAATCTAGATTTTAAATTTAAGAAGAGTAAAAAATCAAGACACATATTGTGTAGGTAGGTACCTAATAAATATTAAAACAAAGAAACATTATCTTTGTTGTATACGCAGTTTTCATGGCTATTTAGATTATAAACAAAGAATAATACCATTATGGAATATAATTTTGTAATTACTATTTCACATGCATGTTTGTCTGGTTTGAGGAAATTGGCCGCTAAGAATGTGCGATTTAAGTTCTTTAGATTTTTTTTTAGTTTAAGAGTTTTTTTTTAAGTTTAAAATAAATTCCCATGATAGTCATCAAGTTTTAACCAATATTTTATTGGAAATTTTCAAAATTTCAATAATTAATTACCTAACTAACCGAGAACGTATTTTCCATTTAAAAATTACATAATTTAAATAATTTCGATCATAAGTCGTTAACCTCCGTTCATGCACTTTTATTGAACAAAATTTTCCAATTGAAAAAACATTTATAATTTTTTGGAGTAATGTGTGGGTAATTATTTTAATGTCCTTAAACTGTTTAAAATTACCTAAACAATGGCCAAGACTTTGCAATGCAAAAATAGTTCAAACGACGAACTTGACTTAAATAAATTTTCACTGTTTTGTAGATCTAGGTCGAAAAAATTACAAACATATTTCTGCAAAACGATTTGGAAATTCCCGTCAAAATTGGGCAGTGCGACACGTTGCAACACTGTAAATCGATGAGTAAATCGATCATTCTTCAGTGTTGTTGCTTGTTTTACCGGCTGCACATGTACACTGTATGACATAATAAAGGTGGTATAACATTCACACACGTAGATACGTGTATACGCAATTTAATCGGGATATTACACTTGGATTTATAAAACAAAGAATTTATCTAGTTATTTTTAAGTTTATTCGACCATATAGAAGACATATTTTTTTAGAAAATTTTAGGCTTTACAAAACCATCTATTTAAATTAATATCGAAGGTCAATGCTTAAAATATAGGTATAAAAAAATATATTTTATTTCTGAATTTTATGAGTTGGCTTTAAATTGTCTTTTTTTACTTGTGTATCATCTAAATTATTTGTTTACAGTTTGAAAACAATTTATAAAAATAAAAAAAACTATATCTGACGTCAAAGAATAAAATAAATAAATTTCTTTTATTGTTTTTAGACTAGACAAAAAATAAAGCTGTAAAAAAACAACTTGGGAAATAAAGGACAGCCTAATACAGTGCGAATGTAAAAACTCCCCCACCCTTATTTTTAGAACCTGTACGTTAGGAATTGTACATTTTAGAATGTTATAGTCTATAGACCAATTAAATACTACTTTTTTTTCTTTAAAATGACTACCTACTGTCAAACTTTAGTATGTTAATATTATCAGACCACTTTTTGGCGAAAAAAAAGAAAAAATGTTCAAAATGGGGTCGTTAGTTGAAATTGTCCATTTTTTTATTCCATCCTGTACAATTAGAAAAATAATTAGTTACATATAACAAGCTTCAAAATACCTTTTAAATTAAATAAATATTTCACATGACCCACTTTTAATTTTTTTAAATGTGACCTTTTGGTAGTACGACGTCTTTTGTTTTTTTTAATTCCCACATGTCTAAAATATTTAAGTTGTACTTATAAAATGCGATTTTTTTTATAATTTCGGATATACCGGTATAGAATTAAAAAATAAGTGGTCGGTTATAAGAATCTTCCAAAGACCTTTTCAACAATGTATCATAAGACAGCACTCCCCATTAAAAAAATGTGACCTTTTGATGGTACGACGCCATTTTGAATTTTTTTCAAAAATTGTTTAACACACCAACATTTGCGATTCCTAACCTACCGGATTAAATATAAATAAGAGGGGGGAGTTATATGTATAATGAATATAAATATATATTATAAATATAAATATTACCTTCGTAGAAACCAGACAAAAACAGACCAATTATAAATTGTAATCAATCTCATGAACACAATTAAAAATAAATACTAAAAAACACCTTATTTAACAAATCTATGGTAGAAATTAACCAATATTAAGACATACAGGAAATAATTAATGGTACAAATGAATATATCGTATGTAATATAAAAAAAATTGTTAAAGTTATGGTTTGTTAACCTAGGTGACAAGTGACAAATATACTTGCATAATACTAAATAATACAATATTTATTTATTTTGTATTTTTATAATAAAACTTACCCTAGTAATATAATATAGTATATTACAATAAGGCCAAATTAGACATGTCTATACATCTTTACATAAATATTATTATTATATATAAATAAAATTAATTAATTATTTGTTTGTCCTGGCTAATCTCCAAACGGCTGAATCGATTTTGACAGGACTTTTATTGGCAGGTAGAGAACTTTTTAGAGAGCAACGTAGGCTACTTTTCATTCCCTAATTCAACTCCCTAAGGGGGTTAAACTCAACACTAACTGACAGACAACAAACAAAAGTAAAATGTTGTTTACATTGTTGAGATTTGTTATTGTTAATTCCACGAGGGATCAAGGGTTTGTTTGTCAATAATAATAAAAATTCCACGGAGGTTCTCTAAAATTTATAACAGTTATGTTTCTTGCTTTAAATTTATTACTTTCTTTTTAGCTTTTATTAAGTGATTGATTATGAACATGCACATAAAAATAATGTAGACCAATTGGGTGGTTGCAAATTCATTATTTATCGCGTTTGGACCAATCATATCTGTCAGATCTATCTAACCTCACTTTCTACTTTTAATAATTCTGCCGTGCTTAATGAAAACGCCGTAACCAACAATTTTGCGATTTTTGGTTTACGGCATTTTCTACTAGAACAATTCATCCTGCGTCTATCCCCGGTACTCAAAAAACTGTATCTATATCTATACGGTTTTTTGAGTACCGGGGATAGACGCAGGATGAATTGTTCTAGTAGAAAATGCCGTAAACCAAAAATCGCAAAATTGTTGGTTACGGCGTTTTTATTAAGCACGGCAGAATTGTACGTTTTATTTATCGTTTAATATGTGCTTGGCTCAAATTTTGAGCTCACTTCTTGACCTAATGACATAAATACTGATTTTCTAGTTTTAATTAAAAGAGAATTTATTAAAGAAAACTATTTTTTTATCTATCCTAAAACTGTACAAAATTTTAAATGTCCTAAAACTAACATATTAAAAACTGCTTGAAAAACATTTAAAAGTTTTAAAACTATCTAAACAACTTTTTTTTATATTTATTCAAATTATTTAATTATTAACAAAACAAGTTGTTTAAAAATCTTAATGTAAATACATATTTTTAACATAATATTTTATATACAGTGTGTACCAAAAATGGCATACCACACGATGATTTTTGCAAAAATGGCGAAAGCGCCGGGATATAGAGGTTAATAAAATATTCTTATTAAAAATATTATTCAAAATTTTTTCAAACTAAAACTACGCAAATTGCGAATACCAAGAACTTAATTGGCCCACCATCTATGTTGCTAAAAGCAACCGGTTGATAATTAAAAAAATTAAGGATAACAAGAAAATAAATCAAGTATATTTTCTTGAAGAATCGACACTAAAATCTGGCCTACCTTGATTTAATTTCACTTTCCCAATGTCATGGATTTCGCAAGAATTAAATAACCGAATAGAATTGCAACAAAATGTCTTCTTGATATAATATACTTTGTGTTATAGGTTATACATGTTTTTAGCCATTTTTTGAAAATAAAATTACGACGTTGCGTTTACAAGAAATTGTGAATTATGTATAAGATTTTCAAAGAAATTTAACGATATAACTTATTTTTAGATTTAGATTTTAAATAATAAGAAATTATTTATACTACTACTTTGTTTTTCTTCCCTACATAAAAAATACTTAAATATTATAAACTTTATTTATTTTGGTTAAATTTTACAAAAATTTCACACAGGCTCATAATATACAAAAATCGACATGAACTTAATTAGGACTGTAATTTCGTTGCATTGCATTTAGACGACTGAAATCACAAAAAACTATTTTTAAAAATGTCCTCAATCTGTCTAGACACTTTTTTAAAGAAAAGCAAAATTCTACAATATTTTTGTCTAAAAAATAACTATACAAATACAATAGTATTTTTCCCAACCTGCAATAAAAATAAATTTATAAAATTCTCTCATTTAGTACTTAAATACAAATTGATAAACAAGTTCTAAACTTTAAACCGATACTTTAAATGGACCTTTAGAGGTAAAAAACAAAAACAAGTATTGGTACTTGTACTATGGTTTTTGTGAAAAGTATTTTTGGAAACCTCGTATAAAAAACATGTAACATTGTCCAGTCGGGGTATTTTAGTGAGTGGGTGGGGGGACGAAACAAGCTCCAAGACTTTCGGTGACTTCAATGGCCAGTTCTGCGGTAACCTTAACAACCAACAGTGCTGTGCATACGTTTTTTAGTGCCGTGAATAAGAAAACAATTTTACGACCAAACTATTTCAAAAAGGTATATTAGTGAAAAGTGTTGCCGCTAGTGACTGAATTTGTTATTGTTGCACAAAGAATTATGGATTAAATACTCTGTGAATCACTTTTTTTGTTTGCAAGAGCGCTTTTACTTTCTTTAAGTTATTCCGAAACTATTTAACCGAATTATGAGGTAATTATTTGTGTGTTTCACAAGTAGATGATTATTAGTAATACAGTAAATAATTAATTTTATTTTTAATTCATGCATTGTTATAAAATGTTAATAAAACTCACTTTTGGTGTTTGGTCGATAAAAAATGTAGAACAATTTCATAAATCATTATATAAAAATGAAATGAAAGTTCATTTCTATCTAACCCAATAAATCAAAATTATAGCATTATTGCCAATTTAAAAAGTTTGTTAGAACAAGAGTTTTTGCTTTTTTATTTTTTTATTTTTTTTACCAAAAACCTGATCAGTAAGATGTTTACGTAAAACAAATTTAATGAGATTAAAAAAAACTTGCTTAAAACGTCATAAAAGCAATTATAAATAATTCCAAAAAAAGTTGAAATGTACATATTCAAGGTGTGCCAAAATTTTGAACTTTTTTATTTTATTTTTTCGTTCTGGACGGTTCTTATAGAGTTTTGGTAATTTTAGACAGGTCTCATACAGATTGGGTCATTTTAGACAGTTCTTATATAGATTGGGTTGGGTTTTGGGTTATTTTAGACAGTTCCGATACAGGGTTTGGTAGTAAGATAATTTTAAGGACATTTGTAGGAAGTTTTTGGTAATTTTAGATAGTTTTAATGCAGTAGGTTATTTGGGCATTTTTTGAACATTTTTAGACAGTTCTAAGATGGTATTTGGTCATTTAAGATACTTTAAAAGTACTTTTTTACAATCAATCTAATCCATAGGAGGTTTTCTTAAAACAAGCTTTAGTTTTTTAAAACATTAATAAGATTAAAACAAACTTCATAGTCCTAAAAGCCCTTAAACTAGTTTTTATAAATAGTTTAAATAAAATTTTGGTCATTTGGGACATTTTAGTTTATTTTAGACAGTTCTCATACAATCTTTGCCATTTTATTAGTTTAACGTTTTTTAATGGTTTCGGCGCATTTTAAACATTTCTAGACAGTTCTAATGCAGTTTAGGTTATTTATGCAGTTTTAGACAGATACTGTCTAAAAATGAATTAGTCAAAAATGACTAATTGTCATAGGGAAAAAGCAGTCACTAATAATTCTAGTCAATAGCAATTTGTATCCCGTACATTTAGCAGTCAATTTCCATGTAAAATTGTTCCCTAAATCCGAAAATGTCGTCAAAAGTTATAAAAGTAAAACAGTTTTTGAGATATAGTCAATTTTCCATTTAAGATGGAATTGACTATATATATCTTAAAAACTGCTCTACTTTCATAATTTTTGAAGGCATATTCAAATTCAAGGGTCAATTTTACATAAGAATTGGCTGTTAAATTTTGGAATAACACAGTAAGATAGTATATGGGAAAAAAGTTGAAATTTAATTACAAATGTGTTTCATATTTTTATGCAATATTTTACACTCTTTTATTGTTTAAACTAATTTAGAGGGTTTTCGGACATTGTTAGACAGTTCTAATAACATTTTGGTCATTTGGGCAGCTCTTGTACAATTTGTGTTATTTTAGACAGATATCTAATACAGTTTTTGTTATTTTATATAGTATATATTTTGAGATTTAAGGACATTTTAAGACAGTTTTTTGTGACTTTAGACAGTTTTAACACAGTTTTGGTAATTTTATATGAATATTATACAGTTTCGATATTTTTGACAGTTCTAAGGAAGTTTGTCTCATTTTATACAGTTTGGGTTTTTTAGGCAGTTTTGTAATATTTTTAGATGGTTCTAAGATATATCTATATAGTATTTGGTCCATTAGATGTTTTAAAAAGGTTTTTGCTGAGTCCAGTAATATTAAAATTTGAAATTTCATATAATTGCATTAGGTTCTATGTTATCCAACTGTGGAACACTTTTATATAATTTTACATAACATCTTTACTAAAATTATTCCTAGGAACTTATAATATTGACTATAAATTAATAAAATACATTGACATTTAACAAGTTTAGCCAAACCCGGATATTTCTGTTAACAAATTAAACATTTTGTGTTTAAACAATGTAATATTAATATTAATAAAGTATTTGAATACAGGGTTTGGCAAATTTACGAAAAAAATTACAAAAAAACGCGATGCAAGATCTTGAATCAAATTTTACTATTTACCTTTAACAAACATAACAAATTATTTAAATAATAAAGATAATTACTAGAGATACTAATTACTACATACATTTTCTGTAGGTCAAAAAATATTTAATTAAATTAACAAAAACTTTCATTTTCTGTATCGAAACACATAAGAATATTATATGTTGCAGAATAACATTATGGAAGTATATATTTCATCATCGTTTTAAGAAATTGTTGTTTGCTATTTTGCAACCAATTTTCGTTGAAATATACCTTTTATTTTATTCATGTATTGTAATAATATAAATCATAAATTTTAAGAAATACAAACAAATTTACTGAAAATTGCAATAGGGTTTCGTAATATAAACGTCAAAATATTTGCTTTAAATAATACCGACTGTTTCTGCTACGATTTAAGTTTAACCAATTTGGCACGACCCGCCGATATCATGCTATCGAGAGTAAATCTTAGTTTTATAAGTAAAGTAGGACAATGATAAGATTATAAGAAAAAAAATTACAAGGTAAAACTTCCGATGCAGTAAAGTATCCCTTGCAGAGTAGATAAATTAATCATGTTTTCCCTCATTAGTTAATTATGCACATATGCATCCTCTAGTATCAAAACTCCTTAAATCCGTTTCGATAAAAATGAGATACATGCATTAAAATATTCCTACCTATCAATGAGTGCATAGAAATGGTTGCAAAAGCCATCAAATATTTATAAAAAAAACATTAATACATACATTTCGTAGCTTTTTCAACCATTTGAATGCACAAATTGATAGGTAGTATTTTTTTAATGCATGGTTCTCATTTTTCATCAAAACGGATTTAAGGGGTTTTGATAATAGGGGATTCATATACTGCTTATTCGCTATATTTTGTATGAATGACCTTGTTTCCTTTTTTGAGGGGAAATTTGTCGATAGTCAGTTTATAAGTGGGATTTAAAATATATGATACCTACCATAGACATATTAAAACGTCCACGTATGATACGAATTGTTAACTAAATAAAATTTAGGTTATATCAAATTTTTCTAAATCATTTGCTTACATCGCCTATGTTAAGCTTACATAAATTCCTTTAGTATTGCTTTATAAAAAGCAAAAAGTGGCATAATATGCACATTGTGTACTCTCTAAAAATGAAACAGTGGATTTTCACTGATTGACAGTGCATATTAACTATTTGCCGCAGTGATAAGTATACCACTAGCAATTAGTGAATACTCACTTTTTCATGTAGCGATTTCTTCACTGTACAAATTAGTGAAATAGGTTTAGTTCAAAAAAGTTAAAATTTCACTATTTTATGTCGAGGGTTCCGGAAAAGTAGTGATAATAAAAAAACACTAATTTGAAGAAGTTAAAATTTCACTAATTTATATTGAAAAACACTAATTTTACAGTGAATAATAATTCACTGACGGAAATAGTGAAAATTTCACTGTTTCACTTTTAGAGAGTAAAAGTATAGTGGCTTTTTAATCTCATAAACAAAATGAAAAAAACAATGCCAAAATAATTGGTATACAACATAAAATGGTTAATTATAAAAACTACCTACATATTAATATGTCTATGATAAAAACGTTTTGGCTATCGTGGTCAAAATACGACGTTGCCAAATTCTTGCTGTTATAAACATGCCATTAAAAAATCTAAAATATCATCATTTTGTGTTTTTCTTATTGTTAAATGTTTTTTTAAAAATGTATTAAAAAGTTTTTAGTATACTTGCCAAATAGAGACAAAAAGATGGTATTTTTTTAAACCGTGTAATTCTCACTTCCCCTACTTTAACCCCACGAAAAGGAAACAGTCTTAGTTAAAAATGATTTGTATATGTTTGGAAGTATGTGTAATTAATAATTACTAATTATGAGAACTGCCTGCCTTTTTTATTTGCGAGCGTATTTTGCATTTCTAGATAAAAAAGGTATTTTGCATTTCTAGATAAAAAGGTAACAAATTTGTATAACACAATAAAGTAGATAGATAAGGCTACAGTTTGGTAAACTACATTAAAATCGGACAAAAATTGTTCAGGTTAGGTTTTAAAAACTATCCAATTTTGGCTAAAAACGATTTTATCTATTTTGCGTTCATAATGACTTCATTATAACACCGCTTTCGGTGCTGTAATGAGATACTTTACTTCACCAAAAATTTTGATTTTATAGGTTGGCTCACAATTGTGTGGATTGTGGGTTGACTATACTTTAAACAGCATACCTACTAATAAAATAATATTTTGCATATTGGTTATAATATTTTTATGATTTTTTTAGTACTTACAAGACTTTTCTGGCAATAAATTTTGTTTAACACCAAAGAAAATCCTTTTTTTCTTCTTTGTCATTAACACCCGCTTATTGTAAATAAGTAAATTAAGGACGGCATGGCGAATCTATTTTGACATTAACTGTCAAACCAATGACTGTGATATCAACTATCTAAAGTAAAATTCCACCAAATTAAATTTAAGGTATAAAATAATTTTTTTTATAGAATTTCTGTAAAATAGGTAAAATAGCATAAAGAACATGTCATAAGACCTTTTGTCGTACTCGACCTTTACAAAACTAAAAATTGTCCGCATGCGACAAAATGACGTCTTATGACATTAGTTCTTCAAAATACTATTATTATGTTATAAACAGTATTTTAAAGGGGATTAACCTTATGAATGTGTATAATTTTTTTATCGAAACATGCAAAAGACTCGTAGAAATCGATAAAATACAAAATCCAAGATGGTGGCACTTCTCATATATAATTAATGAGGAAAAACCTGATTTCTTCATCAACTACTACGTAAAAAGTTGTTTTTTTTTAAATCTAAAATGTTTGTACAAAAAAGCCCGATAAAATATACTATTACATACATGTATAGATGCATATATTATACCTCTAAATGTTTAATTAATTATAATATTATACTTTATGGGGGTCTCGAGGTCAATTTTAAGCATTTATGGTTCTTAATTGTTATTATGACGTTGTTTGCCGCACAAATTGTTTTAAGAATATAAACAGAATCATTAAAATGAAAAAAAAAGTCGATATAATGTATAAAATAACATAATAATGTCGACCTAGAAAAAATACTTAAAGAAAGTTATTTCTATAAAAAAATAATTTATTTTTTTAATTGAAATTTGTGCAATAAAAATAATTTGGAAGCGAGTGATAATTTTTCAATTTTAACGCAAAAAATTAATTTCAGTTCCCGTAGTACCACAATGTGTTATTAAGTGATAAGTGCGATATTTTTTGAACTATTGGTACCATTAATTAATAAATTGTGTGCTGAATATGTTAATAACGTAAGTAATTTTTTTACGTAACAAACCGAGTTATTTTTACTTTGAGCGTATCAAAAAACATCCAATTTAAACTATTTTAATTTTAATTAAAAATATTTTATATGATAAACATATTGTTATTTAAATGAAGATATTATGTTCCACCATTAAGTAATCAAATAGCATTTTTTATTATGTTCTATAATTTTTAATTTACACCTAATTATTGATAATGGTTTTATTATATTAACCACAAATAACAATTGAATGGCATTTTTAAACACATTTTTTAAGTAATGATTCTCACATGGAGAAAACTAGTATAATTTTATTTCTATTTTTATACTTTGGTACATTTTGTGTATTGCATAATTTTAATGAATTTTTTTTTTTATATTTGTTAATATTTGGGAAACCCAAATTGATTTTTTGTTTTCACCACTTTAATCACAAGGAAAAATGACACAATTTGCTAATTTAATTTTGCTTCCCGCTGTAATTTTTTACAATTATATTATACTTTTTTGTTACTGGTCAAGCACTTTCATCTTTTATGTATATATTTATTTAAATGAGTCATAAAATAGAATACTTGTGGCGTTTGAAAAAAATGGCAAGGCCTTTCATTTCTATTGTTGCTATTGCATTTTGTAATGGCCGTTTAAAATTAATGACTAAATAATTGTTTGTTTTATTAAATAAAGACAACATATTTCATCATTAAAAAAGTCCTTTTTGCAATGTTTTATTTCAGGCAATGAAACACCGGATTTAATCCACTATTTTTTTTAATTTTGCGTTTTTGTCTATTATAATAGTTTGATAAACGCTATTATAGTTTCGAGTTTTAATAAGGCACGAGCACGACATAAAAGCATTTTTAGCCCGTGACTAAAAATCCCGAAAGCCACTGTTGCTAACTTTAGCCCGTGACTAAAACGCCTTAAAGTCACAGTTTGTGAATGTGTATTTAAAACGTCACTTGGTATCATGGAAACATGTACGATAATGGGCGTTTTAAAGGTGGGAGCTAAAAAATGATTTAAATTAAATATTTTTAAAAAGCTGCATCCAGGTACATAATATATTATATGAAAATAAAGTAACCATCCCAATAAACATTTTTGACGTAATTTTCACCATTACCATTGCCCGTTATTATTTTAATTAAACTTAAACAATTATTGATACTTTAAAATATAAAAATAACTTCAAAATATGATTATGTTAATAAAATATGTTATCCTTTGATTTATTTTATTACTATAATTGCAGAATATTATCACAAAGTGTTAAAAATTCTTACACGGGAAACGTTAAAGGGACAAAAAGTGACAGTTGTATTTATTGGAATTCCCGTTAGAATTCTTAACTTAGAAATCTACCGGAGTTAAAATCTCAAATTTTTCTGTGTAAATCAAAATTTATCCCTTGAAAATAGACAACAATCGATATAGAACCAGTTTTTTACCGTAAAAGAGGAGAATGTTTTATGGGCACTATACGCAAAATTTTTAACGCTTTCTCAGTTAAATCTAGTTAACTGCACTACTACGGTGAAATCAAAAGGTCAGTATACAAACGTTCAATGTATAATCTTTTCAAATATTAATACTAACTTTAGCCCGTGACTAAAAAGCCTTAAAGTTTGATAAAGTGTATTTAAAAAATCACTTACTGCCATGAAAACATGTACGATAATGGGCGTTTTAAAAGTGGGAGGAGAAAAACCATATAAATGTATTTTTTGCAATGGTGTTTGATGGAGGCAATTATTGAACATTGAAAAACAATATGTAGAACTAGATATATTTATATTATTTTATTTTAGTAATATTTAATTAGTTTAGACTTTGTTCTGAATAATTTGCATATGTTATTCACAGAGACCTTGCTTTTCCTTGGAACAAATACAAAATTAATACAACAAATAAAACATATAATGTAAAAATAAAAATTAATTGGAAAAATACTTTTTTTTAAGTTAATTACTACCCTGTATTCACGATTAATAATTTTTGACCATTTGCTTAATTTTTTTTAAATTGCAAAAAGTAATGACGCAGATCTTACCTAAAAAAAATGCCAGCTTATATTTTGTATACAATACTTTTATATTGTAGACTATAATCCAAATTTCGGCCTTCCTTCGAAAGAGAAACCAGTTTTTAGAGGAATCCTTGCGGCCAAATAAGAATGTGTCAAGAACATGTATCGATACTTTTTAATAAATGTGTTAATTTACATAAAATAAAAATTAATTTAATAAATAATTTTAATTTTGCAAGGACCTCTAATTATAATTCAATATATTCGCAATATGAAATATGAAGGATATTTTGAACACTAAATATTAGGTGATCGACAAGGTTCTCGAATAATTCTCTGATAATATACTCAAGAGGTAATTGACTGTACTCAATACGGGATATTGGTTTTTATTATGAGTAAAAATCATTATTTATATATTTAATCTAAAGCCTTTTTCTATGGCACGCCGTTTTAACATTTAATAAATAATTTTAGGCTTAAATTTACAAATTTAAAATGTTTTCAACTATCATGTATTGAAAGACAAAAATGTACTAACTATGATTGGAAATATTAACTGTTATAACAGTTAATCAATCAATTATGCAAAAATTTCTAACCAACATTTTTTATGAAAATAATTTCTCAAGTATAATTTATTTGGGCAGAATTTTGTAAATCTTATATAAATATTTTATAAAATTATTTAGATTAAATTGGTAAAGTAAGTATTTAAAAATAGTTTCGAGACATTTAAAATAAAAACACACATAAAACATGTTTTAAATATAAAAATAAAAGTTTACAATGTTGGTTTTTTAAAAATTGTTGTTTTTAAATTTTAAAGTGGTAATTTTTAGATTAAAAATGTATCGACTTTTATTTAAAATTTAAACCAATAACTTTTATTTTTAACAAATTTTAATTTATACATTTTTAACACAAACATATTTACTTTACATTTAAATGTAAGTCAATAGTTTTTAATTCACAAAGTGTAAACGGTGCTTTAGCTGACTTCATATGCAGCAGACTTCGAGCTTTGTACCTTTCAAACACTATGAACCATGCTTAAAAGCCGTCTGCTAAAGCTACGTATACGATTTGTAAATTAAAAATAATCGACTTACATTTAAATTTAAAGTTATAAATTTTGTTTTAAAAATACATCAGATTAAAATTGTTAAAAATAAAAAGTTTTGGTTTAAATTTGTAAAGAGTCATTTAAATGATAGTCGATAAATATTTAATCCAAAAATTATCACTTTAAAATTTAAAACTTTTGTGAGAATTTTTGTATTAGTCATTTAAATGATAGTGTAAGTATAAATTTAAACCGATAATTTTGTATGAAAAAATATTTAACTAATATTTTTAAAAATTAATATTTTTAAGCTTAAAGTTTTACAGTTGTATTTAATATTTAAAATTATTTTTGACTTTCAATAATTCAAACTATAATATAATAAACTCTAAAACGGGGTGCCATATTTTTCCAAATACTATTTTCGGAATTAGTGAAATAAACTCAACCTTTTTCTACAAAAAAAAACTGGTTAGCCAAGAATACCAAAGTCAAAACAAAAATGCACCACAATTTCTTTGTATGATTTAAGTGAATCACCTTTGTTAAGAGGTGTACCTATGTGGGTCAATAGACTAGAGTCCTATAAGATTACCATCGACCTTGAGGAATACTTGAGTGCACCAAGGCATAACATAACATGGGCAATCCACAATGACTTTTTGATTGAGATATAAGACTGGTCTATAACGGGTACCACGTTATTAGAGAAGTAATTTTCAAGGGTATGGGGTTTAATGAACTCAATATGAAAGATTTGTTTGCGGTGTTGTCAGATTGTTTCACAAAAATAAAACCAAATTTAAACCCTAATTAATTAAAGCATGCAATTATTACTACACAATAAGCAAAACGTCAGAATGCTGAATTGGTAAAACACCTCTTTTGTTTACAAAATTATTATTTGCTTGAATTAACATAATTCCATTACCGAGCCACTTGATAATTGTATCGTTAAATACGTAAAATTACAAATATTTGTTCTAAATACATTGTTCAGATTTACGCAAATTCAGTTTCATGAAATTATCAAAAAATAATATTTATGTTTTTAATTTGCCGAGCCATAAACATTTTACTGGACAGCTTATTTACTAATTTCGTAAAGCAAAAAATTCGTTAAAAAATGTTTTTAAACTACTGTCTAAAAATTAATTAGTCAAAAATTACTTACTGGCTGTTTTTTCACTTGTACCATGGTTAACCATGGGATACCAAATTTAACAGCCAATTATGTACAGAATATGTATGCTTTCTGTAAAATTGTCCCCGGAATCCGAAAATACCATCAAAAATGATGAAAGTAGAGCAGTTTTTGAGATATAGTCAATTCCATATTAAATGGAAAATTGACTATATCTCAAAAACTGTTATAATTTTTTAAATTTTGACGACATTTTCGGATTCAGGGGATAATTTTATATAAGAATTGGCAGTTAAATTTTAACCATGGTACAAGTGAAAAAGCAGCCACTAATAACTGTAGTAACTAACTAATTCATTTTAAGAGAGTAATGTCCTTTCAAAATATGTATCACAATTTACCCCTTTTCATTCAAAAAATAAGGGTGAAAGCCGCCCCCGCTAAGGGGTTAAAGTTACAGTGATGAAATTAATGTATAAATATGTCCCCCTGGAAACAAAAGTATACGAGCCTGAAGAATTTTTTTATTTATACATACAAAGCCGTAAACCTTACTGTTTTTGATGGGCCACCCTGTATGTCAATTGATTGCACGATTGGTAAGAACCATCCTTCAAACAATAACTGTCAAAATTTCAAATTAATCTGTCAAAAAGTTTTGATTTTACAACTCTTTGTGTCGAGCAACTTTTGCATTTTTACATAAGAAACATTTGGTTGACTCAGTTCAAAACCCTCTAGACTATATAGTGTTATTATTGT